TGTCTTTATGAATATAAAATTCTTTAGTCTACCATGGGGTAAATACTATTAAAAAACAAAATTCAACAAAATAAATTTTAAAGCTCTAATTGCTTTTATCAAGCAACATCTAGCGTGTACTAGGAAGCTCTCAAAAGTTGTACAAAATGGAAGGTTTTTGTAGGAAGGAGAGTGAGGCAAGAAGTTACTAGCAAAGGAAAAGAAAGGATTGTTTCAGCTAAAGTCACCTTCCCTTAGGGGGAAGGGCAGGGAATCTTATTAGGTGGATTACCTCATCTTCCTTTGGGGGATGGAGAGGGCCCATGTGACAGAACCGTCCCTGATGTTGATCAGAAAATTCCTGACTGAAGAGTTAAGACTACGTTTCTGGGGGAAGTTGAAACTGCAATTAGGTTAGGTATAAAGTTCAGATTTGGTGACTTAGCTTGAGTGACACCATTTTGGGCCTGTTGTTTTCTTCTTAACAGTACAATATTCTTATTTTGCAGATAAGGAAGTTGAGTCATGGAGTTTGAGAGACACCCAAGGTCACACAGCTAGAAAATGGGGAACAAGACTTGACCCCTGGCAGTCTGGATCCAAAGTCCATGTTCTAAATCATTGTACTATATGGCTGAGGGATAGGGTGAGGAAAAGAGGTTGGGAGGGGGGAGAGAAGACAGACAGACAGACAGACAGACACACACACACACACACACACACACACACACGTCATAGACAAATTCTCAAATTTGAATGTATATGTTGAAATGACTTCAGACTTTCCCCAAAGGATTTCAACACATTTCCAAGGAAATGAGCCTCAGAAATAGTCCTGTGATGGAGCCTGGTGCCAGAGGTCAATGAAGAGTGGACTATCCCCTGATTTCATAGACAGGTACTGAGTGCTAGTCCTCTCAAGCCCTTTCAATCCTACTATCGGCTGAAAGACAAATTAACAATGCCTAACATTGCCTAAGATTGGAATAGAAAGGCAGTATCAGTGTTCCAAATGGGACAGCTGATGACCTGGTGGTTAAATGCTCAAAACAGCTTTCCTGAAAATGGAATAGGAACACTACTTTTTTTTTCTCTCCAGATGCTAGTGCTTATCACCTAGTTGGCTAGATGCCAGATGCTTTTAAACACAAACACTGTGCAAACTACCTGGGGTCAACTCTGTAAATAGTGCTGATGATTATACAAGGCAACATTGGCCCATGGGTATTAAACCTAAACATTTTTGGCTCTCCAAACAGCCAAGTTACTCTTAGCTCAAGGAGGTAGGGGCACTATACTAGAATCCTTCTTTTAGCATCTTTTATTGGTAACTCCGAATAGGTGGTCAAAAAGATTAAGCAACTTGTTCCTGCCAAGGAAAGAAGACTAAAACCCAGATTTTCTGGCCTCTTGCTGCTAATCACAGTAAAGAAGAGTAGATTCCATGGATTTTATTTTACTAACCCTTCCAAAGTATAAAGGCTGATGCAGTCTTTTAAAATGATTTTATGACAGACTGTATATCTTTGAATAGAATTTATGTTCAGTGATCATAGTTTTTTTTTTTTTTAATTTTTTTTTCAACGTTTATTTATTTTTGGGACAGAGAGAGACAGAGCATGAACGGGGAAGGGGCAGAGAGAGAGGGAGACACAGAATGGGACGCAGGCTCCAGGCTCTGAGCCATCAGCCTAGAGCCCGACGCGGGGCTCAAACTCACGGACCGCGAGATCGTGACCTGGCTGAAGTCGGACGCTTAACCGACTGCGCCACCCAGGCGCCCCATCAGTGATCATAGTTTTTAATGTTATTCCTTGGTGTAGTTATTTTAGCATCAGACATAAAGATTGTAAGTGACTATCATATAAACCATTTTACAAATCATATGCCTTTTTTTTTTTTATTACACAAATGGTCAAGTTTTATATACTCAATTAGTATGAATACCTAATCTGACTTGGTTAGATGATCAAAGTGAATATGGTCTAGCTATTAAAACACACTTGGAGGCATAGACAGATGCCCTGTGCTAATAATGCATTAGAAATATTCCTGCCTACAAACCACATTTTTCTAAACTGAGTTATGATTTACCTGGAAAATTGATTTACTATTTGATTTAATAGGGAAATTGGCTGTGTGAAACTGGCTACTATGAGGAACCATTCTCGAATCAAATAACCACCTTCAGTCTTCATTTGTTCAATTATATCTTTCCTCATTTTTTTCAGAACAGATTTGAGACACTCGGGTATTTCACATTTTGTAAATTTGAATTTTTGTATTTGGGTTTGTGAACACTGGTGGGCTGACCATATAAAAATGTTTTGTAAAAATTCTCTTCCCCTCAAAAGAAGTTCCATAAACTTTTAATGATATGCAATGTGAAATTTGAAAGGTTAAAAAACTTTTCTCATATGCAACAGAGAGTGCTTATCAACTAGCAGAAGTTTGCTTCTCATTGTTGATCAATTAATAACTGTAGAATTCCAGTTCCATTAAAAAAATGTGTGGCCTAGACTGCGGTATGTGCTTGCATTTACTGTTTTAGTCACCCTATTACAGATGATTAGGGAGACATTTGTAAATGCTCTGCTGTTTTGAAATTAATTCCCAGGTCAGTCAGAGATTTTTTAAAATAGCTTATTTTAGGAAACATAGACTCTTGTGGGTATAATATTTACATTATTTAAATTTATGCTGAATTTGCTGTTTGTACGAATGATGAGATTCAGTTAAGTACATTTCTAACCACTACTCTGGACATTTCTAAAAACAAAGCAAAACTAGGAAGAAGGCAATAATTTACAGAGTAAGTGTAATTTAGCTCTTAAATACATTATGGTAAAATAAGTTATAAGCATTAATAGGGCAAAACCACTTGTCTTTAAAGTCTGTGTATATTCATATTCCTATTACCCCAGAAGGTTTTTGCTGGAGTAGTTTCTTAATTTGTCTCTCATTGAATCATTGATATATTAATATGCTATGGATTATGATGTTATTAAACACATATTAGATGTAATGCAGGCAAATTTGTCTTATAGAAACTTTAAACAAAAGGGACATCTTAGTGTGAACAGCCCATTTCACCATGTACAATGCATACATTTTGTATAAGGTTTGCCACCGAAATAAAAATAATAAAAGTACCAAAGTGTGCTGAAAATCACTGTCGGGGGTGGGGTGTTGGGCAGCAGAGTATAAAGGCATAATCCTTCCATTTTTGCTTTAAATTTCAGTTCCTCACCATTGCCTCCAAGGTTGGTTTTTCCTTTAAGTTCATTTTGACCTTTAAGTTCCTTCCATCTTTCCGCGCCCAGGAAGCAGGTGTGGGAGGAAATTGGCTACTTTATGAACCCTCCCTTCTCCAGCCAAAATCATTTCAGATTCACTCCACTCTCAAAATTCTGTGCTAGGCTTTGTGTCTGGATGAAACCCCTTAACACGTTGTGGAATTTAATACTGCATTTTCCTATGCTTAAATCTAATGCATCTTTTATTTTTTTTTTTAATTTTTTTTCAACATTTATTTATTTTTGGGACAGAGAGAGACAGAGCATGAACGGGGGAGGGGCAGAGAGAGAGGGAGACACAGAATCGGAAACAGGCTCCAGGCTCTGAGCCATCAGCCCAGAGCCCGACGCGGGGCTCGAACTCACGGACCGCGAGATCGTGACCTGGCTGAAGTCGGACGCTTAACCGACTGCGCCACCCAGGCGCCCCTTTAATTCATCTTTTAAGAAGTTTGCACATTTCTTCCCACTTAAGGATATACACACAATGGGGAAAATGCTTGAAGGCAGAATGCTGTGATTGGCTCTTTGGAGGTTTCTGAAGGGGCACTGAGGTCAACTTGTTCCCCCCCCCCCCCCACCTCCTCCCTAAATTTTAGAAATGTGAAATCTGGCAGGGATGTGTCTTAAACTGGGTCTGGATGGAAAATGAACATAATGACCTCTAAGCTGATGAGCTGACACCTGAGCCCCCATCCCCTTTAGTTTCTGCGTTGAAATTTTGAAGATTATTTTCAGGAGGCTGTGACTACCAACTGAATAGAGAAATCATCTCCACTACTCACTGATTCTAACCCGGTGGGTATCTCGCGAAAACAGAAGAGTTACACCTGAGGGGAGGGTGTTTGCTCTGAACACACAGCTCAAGGACGTTCTCGACTCAGATGGAAGGTCTGTAGGCTGTAGCTAAAACTTTCATCCGTCCAGATATTTACAGTTTGAAGGGCTTCCCCCCCTGATGTTTTTGGCAATAGAGGGAGAAAATCATTTCTCCTAAGGGCATTTGAAACTGGCAAAATAAACATGCTGTGCACAGCTGAGTCTCCCTAGCCTTTGTTTTCGCTGGGAGGCTGGAGGGTCGGGACATGGACCGTCAGACTCGAGGGCTTCATCTTTTAAAGTCTCGGTGTCCGCAATACCGGGATAATCACTCCACGTGCCACCTGCGGAGGCCTCATTTTTCTTTTCATTTCTTAAGAAGAAGACTCCTCGTCGTCTAGGCAAGTTTGGACAACTGATTAACTCCTGGGAACACTTGCGCATCAGCTGATCCCAGGTGGTGCAGACGCCTAGCGGGGACCAGGCCCCGGGGGCGCCCCCGAGGTGTCATCTTCCCGAGCGACGGTGCACCTCTCACATTAACACTTGGTTCCGCTTGGGTCTCTTCCATCTCCACCCCTCCACCCAGGGGGCCTCGCTGAGCCCCTGCCACCAGCTCACCTTCTCTTTTCCTCCCACGCCCCCGGACAGGGCATCCCTTCTGGCAGGTGGGGTTGGGGGATGTCTAGTCCCCGGGGAAGGAGTGCGGAAGGGTTAACGAGGAGAGTCTGCGGCCAGGTGGGGCGCCCACACCCGCCCGGCCGCGGTGGGCGTCGGAGGTGAGGGGGCGCTGTTCGGGCAGCAGTGCGCCGGGCGGCGGGCGGGAGAGCTGCCAGGCTGACGGAGACGCCGGCCCGAGTGGGGGCCGCTCCGCCGCCGCCGCCGCCGCCGCCGCTGTGATGCGGAGCCGGTGCTGCGCCGGGCGGTGGAGTCAGAGCCCGGGAGCGGGAGCACGAGCTGCAACATCAGCACCGGCGGCGGCGGCAGCAGCACCTGCACCAGCTCCCGGGCCCCGCGCTGCGCTCTCCGCCCTGCCGCGCCCGGGGCCGCCGCCCCGCGCTCTCTATGGATGTCAAAGCGGCCCCCAACGGGGTGGCCACCATCGAGGACCGGATCCTGCGGATCACCGGCTACTATGGCTATTACCCGGGTTACTCCAGCCAGAAAAGTAAGACGCCGCGGGGCTGCCTTGTTCCAGGCACCGGAGCGGGTGGGATGCGGGAGGGCGCGCGGTCCGGACACCTGCAGCCCTGCCGGTACCGCTAACGCTACCTTCCTGGCGGTGGGGCCGCTGGGGCGAAAAGTATGTCCGTTGTTCTCGGTGCTGAACCACGAGAGAGAACGGGGGCCCGGGCCGTTTGCGCCTAGGAGTTTGGAAACAGTGGCAGCCTTGGGGTCGGAAGCGCCGGGGGGACCGGGTGAGCGCTCCGGGCGGCCGTCGGCCGGCTCACCTCTGGCTCATTTACCACCAAGGGGAAGGCTGCCATGGCTGTTTACTTAGCGGAAAGTCAGCCCTAGGTGCCGCACTCCCCCCAGCCCCTACTGGGTGCCGGGCTGCAGGCGGGGCGCGGGGCGCGCTGGCTGGGTAGGCTCGGGGGTGGGGCCGGCGGGGGCGGCAGAGGCAGACTTGGGTCCCGGCGCAGGCCGGCTTTGCTTGTGCACTCCGGCTGTCGAGACGCCGCCAGCGCGGGAATTACTCCTGCTAAAATGTCTTTGCGAGGTCCTCCACCCCGGGCAGAGAGAAACCTGCTCAGGTCTCCGAGTGCCGGCGCCTGGAGCCAGAGACCCGTGCAAACGACTGGGGGTGGGGTGTGTGCAAGCGGGAGGCGCGACAGGGCCAAGCTCCCGCGCGGCCGGCGGCACGTCGCGGCTCCCTCTCAGCCTGAGTAGGCTTCTCGGTTCTGCACAGGCTTTCTCCCGGCTAAGGGGGGGGGGGGGTCGTGCGGCGCGGATGCTTTCACATTGCTAGAGCAGTTTCGCGGGGAGGGCGATGAGGTGCGCTCTACTCTGTCCCCCTCCCCCCAACACACAAACCCCACTGGCTGTCTTTGCTGGAATTAGTTCAGCCAGCGACCAAAGTGAAGCTCATTTTTCTCCGAATTGGGGGACTAGTTGCGGCTTAATTCCCATGCAGGTGGGCTCTCGCTTTTCCTGTATCAATGCATTTCTGTCGCAATAGATGGAGCCTAATTGATGTTTTTGCTGTTATTTTTAACCAGAAACCGTGCAAGATCCTCGATGCATTTCTGATTGGTATTTTTCTGTGACATTTTGGGGTCCGATCAGTGTTATAGTTTCTCTGAAGCAGACAAACCCTGACACGTAGAGGAGAAAACACTTTTTTTTTCATGTAACTTTCTCCCCCACTATGCTGCATCTCTATTTAATAATAATTCAGGAGCTTTGTTCTCATAGAGATATTTTCTCATTTGATATTTCATTTGGTTTCAGGAAAGGCCTGTCTGATTTGGATGGTTTCAGTCTAGCTGTTTTTAGAAGCTTACATTATTCATTTTCCATACAAAAGTAATTATATAGTGTTAGAATTTTCTGGAAAGAAAATAACACACTGTGGAATGCAGTTTGAAGTCTTTGTACTATAGATTCAAAAACTTCTTTTTTTCCCCCTATTGGCAAAGGGTTTCTTTTTTTTACTCTAGAAACTTAAGGACAGCACTATGCTATGAGGCACCATAAAGCATTATGGCGAGGAAAGTATGCTATGTGGACATTAGTTGGATTTCACCAAGTAATTGAATGTTTTAATTAGGAACCATGGGATTTTGGTTGCTTAGAGAACGTGGAAGCTGTCTGAAATTTCAAGACCCAGGGTAGTTTATTAATATAATTTTTATCACAATGGAACTGTGGTTAATAAAGAACAAACCAAATGGAATACTGGAAAAGTGACATTTTAAATAAAATCATGTTCATATTATCTTTTCATGCTCACTCAAATAGCGGCCCTTGTTTCATTTGCAGTACAATAATAGGACAAAAAGAGGGAAGAGCCCGGGCTGAGACAGTAACTGAAGCGAACAGGGATAAAGGTACATTTGGCGTAGTTATTTTTGATGGGCACTTATCTAACTTGAGGCCACAGAAGTCAGTGAAGGACAATCTCATGAGCACAGAGAATTACATGGTAGTCAAATAACTTTCAGGATGTTCGTGCCTTCAGAGGTAGGAAGAGATTGCCATTTTGCGCCGTGAGAGACGAGGAGAGGAGAGAGCTGGAAGAGAGCCAGGCAGCCGAGCACCGTGAAATAATCCTGCCCTTAATGCAGGCCTCAACTAGTAAACAAACACATTGAAGCAAACCAGTACAATATGGCCAATTGATTTAGCTGTTACCAGGAATGAGCAACAGCTTGGGGGAAGTCTGGAGGGATATATTAAGGGAAAGGCTATGGTGAGGAATATCGAATATGTGAAGGCAAGGTGACTTTCCCATTTTCTGACTGGTCACATGTGAGGCCTTAAGGATGATCTCTTGATATCTATGCCATTTACCTTTTTAGAAGTAGGTGGGGACTCAGCTCTGAGAAAATGCATCAGTGATCAGCCTCCTGTTAATGTATACTGGTGCCGTCCCTGGCAATCAGGAAGATGAGTGCCTTGTGCGGAAGAAATGCTGGTAGTCAGACTGATACAAAAAGAAGTGTGTGTGTGTGTGTGTGTGTGTGTGTGTGTATGAGATGTATTGTCAGGGTATGATATTATCAGGATAATAATCAGGGTGCAGAAATGATGGAAGCATTTGTCTAGCCTTGAGTTACTTTTGGTCTGGTGGGGGAAATAGACTCCTCTATTCAACAAGTGCTATTTGAGGACCTCCTGTGTGCCAAGAATACGCCCATGAACAAAACAGACAAAAACGTTTTCCTTTTTGGAGCTGAAGTTTCAGTGAGTGGAGACAGACAATAATAACAAACAAACAAACAAATAATGTCGTATGCTTCAAGGTGATAGGTGCTTTAAAAAAAATCACAACAGGGTAAAAAGAATGAACAATTCTGAGGGGGAGGGGTAGAGATTGTGGCAATTTTAAATAGGGCAGCCTGTTAAGACTTCACTGAGGAGATCACAACCAGGCAAAGCCTTGAAGTATGTGAAGAAGTTAGATGGCGTGAACATCTGGAAGATGTTCCAGGCAGGGTGGACAGCCAGTGCAAGGCTCTGAGCTGGAACGTGCCTGGCACGCTAGCGGAAAAGCATGGAGAGCTGCATGGTTGAAGTGGAGTGAGCAGTTGGGAGAATGGGTAGAGATGGGGTCACTGTGAATGCAGGGGTCGGGTAAAGCAGAGCCTTAGAGGCCATTGTAAGTCCTTTGGGAAGCCTGTCTGGGGTTTTGACAAAGGAGTGATGTGACTTGACTTTTCAAAGGGATCAGTTTGACTGCTGTATTCAGGCAGGAGTGGAAGCAGAGAGACTAGCTATGTTATTGCAACAACCTGGGTGGGAGATGATGTCGGCCTGAACCAGACTGGTGACAGGTGGTAAGAGGTGGTCAGATTCTGCAGATACTTGAAGTTAGAGCCAGTAGGGGTTACCAGTGCACCGGATATGACATCTGCAAGAGAGAGAGGAGCAAAATGTGATTCCATCTTTTCTGGTTTGACCAACTTTGAGTTGCCAACAGCTGAATCCTGAAGGCTTCAAGGTAGAGGGAGTCTGGGGCTAAGGATACTATTTGAGGAATGTTAAATGTAATTGGAGATGAAACGTAAGCCTGGAGTTCATAGGAAAGGTCTGAATGGGGATATAAATTAGGGATTTTTCAGCATCTGGGTGGTATTTGAAGCCTAAGACTGATGAGAGCTCCAAGAGTGAATTTATGTAGAGAAAAGGAACACGGTTTGAATCCTGAGGGTCTCAGACATTAAGAGGCTGGGGGAGACCAAGAAGGAGCTCCCAGGGAGGTGGGAGGAAAACCAGGAGCTTGTGATACCCTGGAAGCCAGTGAAGAGTTTCAAGGGGAAGGGATTAGCTGAGTCCGATGCTGCTGAAAAGTTAAGTGAAATAAAGACTTGTAACTGACCACTGAATTTGGCAATTGGGGGTCACTGGTGACCTTGACAAGAACCCTGACAAGAGCAGGTAAGGTAGGATAACATTTACTAGAATGTGTATAAGAGAATTAGAGGACTTGGAAATGTGAGCACAGACAACTCTTCAAGGATTTTTTGTGCAAAGGGGAGCAGAGCCAATGGGGATCGTAGGATCAAGGAAGTTTTTTTTCTTTTAATGGAAGAAATAACAGCAAGTTTGCAAGGACTTGAGAATGATTCAGTAGAGAAAGAATAATCCATAATGTGGGAGAGGTAAGGCATGGAATCTACCGCACAAGAAAAAAGACACTTCATGCAGGGCAGTGTGTGTGGGCATAGATTCTGGAAGGTGGATAACCAAGATGGTGGGAGGCAGCTGAGTTTCTCTTTGGTTGCTTTAATTTTCTCCAAAGAGGAAGCAAGGAATCAACTGAAAGTGAGGATGGGGGAGGGTGTGGTAGTGGTTGGAGGAGAGAGAAGGTGTGAATAATTGAGTAGGGAGCATGACCAGACCGGGGCAGTGCAGTGAAGTGGTTTGGCTGCCTTAAAGAGCCCATTTAAAGTTTCTGGCCACAAATTGAAAGTGAGACCAGTCAGTAGGTTGTTACATTCACTGATACAATGAAGACTTGGGGCAAGTGAAGAGAAGGACTTCAGAGTGCAGATTATCCAATGGGTATGATAAAATAATAGGGGAAAGGGAGGAGTAAATGGATGCAAGAAAAGTATTACCGTAATGGTTGACCGTAGAATTTAAAGCTGGTAAGTAGAGGAGAGGAAATCAAGGTAGTTAGAGAGTGAAGAGATGGCAGGATCAGTGGGTTGCAACCTCAGTGGGATCAAAGGGGAGCGGAAGTTAGCTGGAAGATGAGAGGCAGTGGTCAGAGAGCTGTATGCAGTAAGAAGTTATTTCTGTTAGTCAAGTCAAAGGATAAGTCAACTTAGGTTTTATTGTATTCCATAATTGATATTCTTGGGGTGAGACTTCTTTTTGCGTTTGTATAAGGAGGTGGTATGTTGGTGTGTAGTGAATTAAACCCTAGTGATTTGGAGATCGATTCTAGTCTTAAACCTGCCGGGAGCTGGCTCTGAGACCCTCTCTGTGTCAGTTTCCTTG